ATATATATATATATATATATATATATATATATATATATATATATATAATTTACCTCCTACCCTACCCGTGAACAATACATATAATTCGACAGTACTCACCCTGTACTTTTCCAAAAACCTCGAATTCGACGGACACCAAAGGTTCTTGACAGAGGGGATCATCTGCCGCCATCCTATTCCGCCAGAGATTAAATGAGACGGAAAAGTTTGCGTCGATATACTCGTCTTGTCCGAGAGACAGTTTTATGAGTACAAGCAGATCGGAAGTATATGGAATGCGCACAAAGTGAGTCACGTACGGATGAGTCCGGTTGCGGATGAGAGCGATCGCATACTCGTACTCGTTTTCGTTCTCGTTCTCGTTCTAGAGATGCTTCACCTTTCGCCACGACTCACCTTGCTGGCTGATGCTGATTCTTGTTGCGCGCCGCACCTAATAGATCCCCAAATAGATCACCCCACCACATTGACATTGATTTAAGCGCACGCGATCGGGAATCGATCGACGGTCTAATCTTTTTGAATATAGTTCTCTATAGTTAGTCAAACGCGAAAAGAAACCAGAAATATTTTTTCGCTATGTATATTCGACGTATTGTGTACATACAACGTACGTCGCGGCATATATCGTAGTACATATATATATTATGTATATATACATATGCCGTGAGGACATCTTTACACATCTTTTACAATATTTTTTACAAGTATAGAGAAAGCGTTATACGAGCTCTCAATATATGTAGGTATATCATCATGGAGAATGCTTGATCGATACGATAACTCGAGTGATATAAAATGATTGTTGCGGTAACGACGGTACGTTTAAAATAAAACACAAGTAAAATAGAGGAACGAACAGCCAATGGCACGTGATTGATCTCTCTCCTCCCTCTTCACGAGGGAGTTGTTCATTGTGGAAACATTAAATGTAGGCCAGGAGGGAGGCAGGAGAAGGGAAGAGAGGGGGGGCAAGCATTTATCGTCGAACTAAGCACTTCCCATCGTGACTGTCGCCTATTGTCCCGTCATTACGTGCCCACACGCGGCTAATTAGTTATTAGTTCGCTATGACGTAGTAATTGTCGAGCGTAAGAGCGTAAAAACTACAGGGTGTATGTACAGGATACGAGGGAAGTTACATATTCTACTTATAACAGATAACAGTCCTGTTCAATTTATCGCCAAGGTCTCGCTCGATGCAAGATTCTGTGGTATAACAAAGATGATTCGTCATACGTATCGATGAGAAGATAACGCGACCATCTTTTTCGACGAGGCTTACAGTAGCGAATTTAGAACAGGACCGTCTCTACCGTTCGCACGTACTCGTATTTTGCTGCACGCACCACATTACCGGAGATCTGACAACCTGCAAAGCGTGTATATCTCTGTTTATTTTAATTAGACTTTTTATATTTGATTCATTTATACTCTTTCTTCCTCGAAAAACCAAATTCATTTCACTTCATGTGCAGGAAACGCAACCAAATCAAATAAATTTTCTAATACAAAATGACTACTACTAGTTGTATCAGAAAAAAATGAGTAAATAAATAGTGAATACACATTGGGCATCTATTATTAATATTATTTATTTGGTAAGTCTCTCCTCCCCCTCTCTCTTTCTCTCTTCCCTTTCACCTCCGCCCTGTCTTTTTTCTCTGACTCTGTATATAGATTCATCTTTGCGTGAGTAATATCGTACGTATCCATTTATATTTTTAAATAAATATACAAATATCTTTCTATTTATGTATTCGCCACACACACACACACACACGCGCTTGCACGCACGCGCGCGCGCGCACGCATCTATGCATACATATACGTATGTAGTAGTACGCGTTTTATAGACTGGATATGTAATCAACTATACAAACAACGTTCGCAGATAAAACACTCAACGGCAGCATCATGTCCTATAACTTGCAAATACTTCTTAACATTCGTTACTTTAATGGCAACGAAAAAAATCACTCGTGTATCGTACATTACTGTTTTGCATTGCAAAGCTTGTTGTTCACTTCGTACGTTGATTCACAGCCATTCGTCTTCCGCGAACCGTATTCTTAATTCTCTTTGCTCGGCATATTATTGTATTATCGGAAATATCTCTTCCATAATGATCAATGATCCAATCGATTACGCACGCCAACCTATTCCGAGTTTGGCGAGTGCCTTGTACTTGATTTCCATATGACAAGTATGTCAGTACTATTCACCCCTTCCCTCCCTCCCTCCTTCAGGCATGATAGTGGCGCGGCGCGACTCGATCTTTCAATCTTCCGTCCTCGCTCGCGATCGCGCCATGCACTGACAGTGAATCACTCGACCAGTAAATTTTAATACACGAGTCACACGTCCTAGCGCGTGAAAAAGAATACAAATCTATACAAATCTAATCAGACATCTGTCTTGTAATGAAACGTTGAATCGGGATGATAAAACGTACTTATTAAAGAAATTCGAGTACGTGCGATGAGTGTGAGAGGCTTACGTACACGCTTTTACTACACATACTCGTATATCGCGTGCGATAAATGCGATTAGAAATCAAAGGCTATCGTGAATAAATCTATGACGCAACCGAGTCGCAATCGTGATGGTCCCACGAAATTCCGATTTCAATTTCGATTAAGCACGATTACCGCACTTCCACTTGGGAGACCACCCGTCTCAAGTCGTCTTAAAGATGTTGACCAAGAAGAGTTGAGTGGTCTCGAAAGAGATCACGTCCCGTAAAAAGATACGCGTCATTTTTTCGTTTCACAGCGTTTCACGTTGCGTTTAGGTATACTTAATTGTCTTTCTCTCCCTCTTATACCTGGGCCTGGACCTGGACCTGGACCTGGACCTGGGCGCTCTACGCATCTAGGACAAAAATCGATTTCTCCTATCTATTATCGTCTCTATGCAATAGAATCCGTATTCGCAGGTATAATCGACATAGTGGTGTTATTCGGTAGGAGAGTTCCGTTTTCACCGTCCTTATCGTTTGCATCGTCGATACGACCGACGAAATCTTGGGAGGATACCAACAACTTCCGCTGTCGCGCTCGCTTCTTCTCGCGTTCGATCTGGCACGAAATGAAATAAACGATAACGTTAATTGGACAGAACACAACATAAAACGTGTCGAGAATGTTTCATTATATAAACTTGACTACCATTCTATACATTATAGTTATAAATTTTATATATATATATATATATATATATATATATATTTGCTCCGACACGTGCGACAAGCACACGTACATGTGTCTCGTCTGTATCTTGTATGACATGACGACATGTACAAACCTTGAAGAATAATCGAAGATAGTGACAGGGAAACACGACGCACTGTCCTTCCTCTTCCTCGGCATCGATGTAAACGCCACGAACTAGAATGGTGTTGCTACAATTGAGGAGGACGAGGAGAACGAAACAGCCAACGTGAGTGATCCAACAGGACAATTCTAGATTGTCCGGCAGCAGCCACAGATCCAGCGCGTTCCATATACCGCGCCAGACGTTCACGGTCCCCAGAAAGCTCAGAAGAAGAAAAGCGTCCGCGACTAACAAGCGAAGCAAACCCTGAAGGCGCGCGCAGATGTACCGCATCAACGGTTGTAGACAAAACGTCACGGCGACTATAAGATACCCTATGGCCTGAAATTCGGTAATGTTACGATTAACGTTACTCTTATATCTTTCTCTCCCTCTCTCGACGATGTTCTTAGAAACTGGATCTATTTAACAAATTTCTATCATATATTCTTGTAGATATATATTATGGATTCAAGAGATATAAATATATAGAATTGTAAGCGCAAAGTCGTATCGACGGCGACAGCGCGGGGCGATGTGAGACAAATGTAACGAATCACGGATAACGTTAAACATCTCATACGCATACACCGACAATTGTGCCATGTGCCGCGGCAATCATGCAATTGGCGAATATTCAATTATATAATCCAACTACCGGGGCGTGTGCAGTGTGCCATAGCACAGCTTAGGCATGCACGTCGCCTGATGTAATGTGCCTGTAAAATTTGCAGTAAAATTTCCAACGGACGATATATGCAACTGATGCAACATATAAAAATTGAGAGAGTAACTTTCGAGAGAGTTGTTTAAACTTTTGCTCGTGATTCGTCAAGGCTTCCGCGCACGGTCATCAAATTTCTTGTTATACTTTGCTCAACTTTTATTTTTATCACGTGACACAAATCTTTCCAATTTAATCGTTCCACGTCGCGCGTTTGGCGCGACAAAACGGTATCAAGTGCCTGCGCGGATTATTTCGTGTATGCCAATGATATCTGATGGATAGTGCGTTCAAAATTTTCCGCTTACGAAATGCTCAAGTTGCCTAACCGTAGCGATATACAATGTATATCCCTGACATGCAATGTCGAAATATTTGTATTACACTCACGCGTCAACATTCACCGCGACTATATTATCCGTATTTTAGAGCTACTATCGTGTCATATCACTATTATCGCTCTCTTCTCATATTTGTCCTTGGTATCATCATTCGTACTATTATTCTTTTCCTCTTTTTTCCTCCCTCCTTTCCTCTCCGTTACATTCGTCGCGCTTGCACGTTCGATGTTGTTATATAATTTCGTTTTTCCCGCTACCCCACAAAGCTGCTCCTAACGCTAACCCACGATAAGCAATGGAATAATGTTCTTGCAACGGCACGCGATACGGCTCGATACGAAATGTACATACGTGCGTGACAGGACTCTGGAATATAGATATAAATAAGAAAGTAAAATAAAATATAAATATATTTGGTATCTGTCTTTTTTTATTTGAAGAAACGGGCACACGTAGATTGCTACGTGGATGCGCGTGTGTGGCGTGTACGGGAATAATACGCAGTCACATAGGTATAGATATAGGTAGATGTACACAGTGTCTTTTAAACAATCACTCCCTCCTCTCCCCCCCCCTTCAGACCATACCACTTTTGTCTGAAATATTTTCTTCTAAAATCCAGGAAAGAATGAAAATGTTGAGGGGAGGGGGTGACCATTTAAAATAGGACACCCTGTATATAATGGAAAACGTGGTTGAATCAGCGATCGCGCGGAAGGAGGTGGCTATATATTGACTGATTGTCGATGCAAAAGGCTTTTATATTTACCAGTGAGCCAACGGCAGAATACTCGGGATTTTCTGGAAACAGGTAAAGGTCGATCAAGAACCAAACTCCTCTCCAGACGAAGACAACCAATGTACCCACGACACCGACGCTGAAGACACAATCCAGTAAGTACAACGACCAGTCCCTCGTATTCTACGCACGTATAATAGAGATCGTAACATTAACATTATGAAAGATTATAGTATATAATATTGGAATAACAAGATAATAACGAGATGAATATTAAATGTATAAATGTATAACAATATCGGGATGTGCTGCACGCCCGATATTCCCGTCATGTCTATCACGTATTAACAGTATAATAGTAACGTGTTAATGATACGTATTACGATAATACACACTAATGCAAAAATGATCTTTATCTTATCTCTCAAGTTCTTTTCTTCCATCGCTGACGCTTAAGGGCTAGCTGCATTTGCAGATTTGTGAAAAAAAAGGCTGCAAAGTGTACACGTGCTAAAGTAGGTGTCGATTAATTTCACAAAAATGTTATCTCCCCACTTTAAAGATGGCTGATATTATTAACGTATTGTGCGCGCGTGGTGTGTGTATGTGTGTTTGTGTCAGAGAGAGAGAGAGAGAGAG